TACGAAGGGACTCAACCAGTACGGGAAGGACTGAGTGAAAGTGTCCAACAATTTGTCAATCAAATGAGTCGAGTATGTGAGGACACTAGTGCAGCTATTGGACTAGCACAGGAGTCGATGAAACACTTCTACGATAGAAAAAGGAAGAACGGACCAGAGTACAAGGTCGGAGACAAAGTTTGGTTAGAAGGGATCAATATTCAGACCGATAAGCCAATGAAGAAACTGGATGATAAGCGGTATGGACCATTCAAAGTCAAACGCAAAGTTGGCGCTGCAGCCCATGAGTTAGAACTCCCGCGTCAATGGAAACAACACCCTGTTTTCAATGAAAGTCTTCTCAGTCCCTTCGTAGAACCTACATACCCGTCACAACAGCACGCACCCATAATCCCAGACCTCGTAAATGGCGAGGAAGAATGGGAAGTAGAAGAGATTCTTGATTCACACCATGACCGAAATGGAAATCTTGAGTACCAAGTCCTTTGAAAGAATAGCCCTCATGGCAATCGCCGTACTTGGGAATCACGAGCAAACTTGACCAATTGTCAAGAACTGCTCCAAGATTTCCATACGAGACGTCCAGATAAACCCGCGCCCATGACGATCTGTATTCCCCCTCTTCTGACACGACCTGTTCACATGCTCACATGCGATACCACTCTCCTGGTGCAACGAATGGGAGGAATTCTCCCGAAACGTGGGTCAGAAGAAGCCGTCGGTCTCGATCTTTACTCCGCTGAAAGCGTTAAGATACCGGCACAAAGTCGCAAGATTGTCAGCACTGGCATAGCAATGCGTGCCCCACATGGGACTTATGCCCGAATCGCACCACGGAGCAGATTAGCGGTTAAAGGGATTGACACTGGTGCTGGGGTCGTTGACTGAGACTACACTGGAGAAGTACGTGTGGTAATGATCAATACCACCAATCAACCATTCCAGGTACGCGCCAGTGATCGGATCGCTCAAGTCGTCTTGGAATGCATTGCATCATGCGATATCGAGGAGGTGTCGAGTTTAACGGAAACTCAGCGTGGTACGGAAGGTTTTGGATCCACTGGTAAATAATCGTGAGGACACAATTCTAAAGGAGGGGGGGGGGGGGTAATGTCATGAATATTACATACTCCGGATGGTTCTCCCGGATTCTACAGTATTCTTTCACTTTCTATACACCTCCGTATATTCGTAGGATATTCCAGATATTCAGTCTGACATGTATATAAGGAGCTTGTACTGCTCAATAACAAGCCAGACTCGAGCTGGTCTTTACTCACTTACATTCCTCTCGTCTGTCTCCTCAGCTGTGTCATATCTCAGTCCAGTTGGATTGTTTGTTGCTGACACCCATCCTCAGCCATCTAGAACAGACAGAGAGACGCACGTCACGCATTTCTCATCAGGGTCTCATATCGAGCCCATATACCTGGCGAGTGTGCCGTCTTGTCAACGGCTTATAGAAGGCTTATAGCCATCTTATTTCTAGATCAACCGTGAGACCGAACCGTTGTTCAATGCAAGCGGGGAGGTGCGTTCTTCGTCTGTGTCTCCTACCGAGCACACATATTCGGTGAATATGCTATCTTGTCGACAGTTGGCAAAAGGCTTATACTCGTTTCATTTTAGATCGACCACGAGACTGAACCATCGTCCTCTACCCACGGGGAGATGTGCTCCTTGCCGGTCTCTCCTATCGAGTGCGAATACCCGGTAAGTATGCTGTCTCGTCGACAGCTGGCAAAAGACTCATCTGTTTCATTTCTAGACCGATTACGAGACTGAACCGTCGTCCAGCACGAACAGGAAGGTGTGCTCTTCGTCGGTGTCTCCTCCTGAGCAAATATACCCGGTGAGTATGCTGTCTTGTTGATGGTTGGCAAAAGGCTCATAACCATTTTATTTCTAGACCGCTCGCGAGACCGAACCGTCGTCCAGTATGGGCGGGAAGATACACTCCTCATTGGTGTCTCCTACTGAGCAAATATACCCGGTGAGTGTGCTGTCTTGTTGACGGTTGACGGTTGGCAAACGGCTTATCCCCGCTTCCCCAAAACTTCGTGAAGGGGCTGCTGAGCTTCATCCGCAATGTATTTACTCTTTTCTTTGAAATCTTGGACTGTATGTCATTGTGAACTCTTATAATAACACTAGACTCCTTGATAACAGTGTACAATCACTTATTTTTTGTGTTTATGCAATGTAGTGTCCTTGCTTTAAACAAAAATGCCGGCTGAAGTACTTCACAGACTACAGCTAGTCCGGTGGGTTCGCGCCCACGCCTGAGGGCACACCTCGCACAACCCAATTCTGCGATGCCACAGCAAATTGCGTCATTAATCGTGATGCATGTCGCGCAGAATTTTCGAGCACCCAATTCGAGAAGCAAGTTTTGGAGAACGCGTCGCTCAATTGACACAGCACCACTGTCTTGTAAAAATACATGCTCTTGTGTTTCCAAGTTATGCTACTTGCGCACTTACATTTCTTTGATAAATCATATTCCTTCGGTAGTTTCAGTTTCATAGCACAAGCTTGAGCAAATCACTCATAACACCCATTGCAGTGACAGCGGCACCGGCGCCTGCGCCCTGAACGATGAGGGGACGTGGGCTATATCGCTCAGTGTGGAACATAACGATGTTGTCCGAGCCGCCAAGGGATGTCGCAAAAGGGTGTGTCGTGGGGTACCTACATAAAATGTCAGCTTCACGCCAAACCTGAGTGAACTCGTACTTCTCGAGATCCGCCTTGACAATACCGTTCTCGACATCGACCACGCCCACGAATCGGAGGACAGACCCTTCTGCACGCGCCTCCTCGCGCAGCTTCTCGAACTCGACGTCGAACTCGGGCAGGCGGTCAACGAACTCCGCGCCTGAGGAAACGGATCCGAGGGCTTGTGGGACGAGCGAGCGCGTCTGGACGGACGTGTAGCCTTCAGGGAGCGCGTTCTGCAAAGAGGGGATGCTCCGCGCGAGGATTGCCAGCTTGCGCGCGACGTCTGCACCGTTTAGGTCGTCTGCAGGGTGGGGTTCCTAGTCCGACGCTGGTCTTCGTGCGGGCGAAGGGAGCGAGAGCAAGGAGACTTACAGTATAGCCCTTCTCACGCGCAACACGCACGACAGACGAGAACGCGGGCCCTCCTGGGTTCGCAGTAGAGAAGTTGTTGAAGATATAGCTCATCGTGCCCGAGAACACGCCCTCGATCTTCTTGACCTATGCGGGACTGTCAAACCGTATCTTTCGACGTGCGATAACGCGGCATACCTTATCGCCAGTCGCCACCAGATCTTTCAGCGTCTGCACAACAGGCAGGCCCGCACCCACAGTCGACTCGTTCAGCCACCGCGCGCCGGTCTCGCGACTTGCCCTCAGGATCGCGTCGTACAGCTGCTGGTTGGCAGAAAACGCCTTCTTGTTCGGCGTCACGACGTGCACGCCGCGCTTCAGGAACTCTGGGTACAGCTCTGCGACGTCCTGCGACGAGGTGTTGTCGACGAGCACGGCAGCCTCGAGCTTCGCAAGCTGCTCAGCGAGAACGGGCAGGTTGGGTGTGGCGGACGACGCGGAGAGCGCGGACGCCCACGAGCCTGCGTTCACTCCCAGACCGTCTGCAGCGAACAGCGTGTATCTGGACGACGTTAGAGACACGAGTCTGAACGGGTTGGGTGCTTGAATGGCGAGCAGCTGCGAGATGAGCTCGGAGCCGACCAGGCCCACGCCGACGATAGCGACAGAGAGGGTTGGTTTGGGGGGCATCGTGGTGCAGAGCAAGGGGCGATATCAAGTAGATAAGACGCAGCTATCGGATGGTAGGCGGGCTCACAAGGGCTGTACAAGGCTTAGGCGGAGTCAGGACACACGAAGTGGCAGATAGGCTATTGGCGCCCATTCGCGAGAGAGTTTTACCCCGCATTGCTGCCAATTTTGTCTCAAATGCCACTGTAGGAAGTAGTCTGAACTGATCTACAGTGACCGACAAAAATAGCGCGCGTGACTACAAAGGGGTGTCGAGTTTGCTCAATAGCTTGCTAATGGCTAGTACTACTGGTACAACTTGTACATTTATTGTATAACACTATGCTAAGGCTATATTTTGAGCTATATAAATCTCCCAGCCACACAGGCACTGGAAGGCTATTGTTGCTTTCCTCAGAATTTGTTCCAATTTTGATCTGACTATCTCTCTACAAATACAGGTGAGAAAAATGCAATCTTATTCATGGACAATCTGTACATGTGTGGTATGCTACTATTAATTTTATATTTGATATGCTGTATGCCTCACTAAGTTATAGGCTATGTCACACTAGTGGCTCACATTCTTACTGTATAGTCATGGGGTACATCAAGAACAGCCAGACTAGTAGCCTGCTATTATACATTTTTTATTTTGTACTAGTTCTATCTAGGTCATATACAGCAGAACAAGTCTGTACAAGCTTTCAGCATTATACTCCTGATTTGTAAATCATGTAGCATAGAGTAGCCAATATAGTTAGGCTTGTCATTGGCTGATTAGGAGGGAGGTTGTACTGTAAAATTTATATGTTAATCTATGCATAGGGTCACTATTATTCATAGATAAGAAAGATTTATTATACCACTCCTTGCAGAGTTAAGAATATTTCAAAAAAGAGGCATATTTCAAGTAAAATAATAACAGTGCTACAGTATCCACACAGTTTGGCAATTTGTATAGCTCAAAATATAGCCTTGTTAAGGTATTATACAATAAATATGGAGCTTGTATCGGTAGTACTAGTTGTCAGGAAGCTATCAAGCAAATTCGACACCCCTTCGTAGTCATGCGCACTACTTTTGTCAGTCACTGTACCCTCTCTACTTTGGGCAAACGAAGGAGAGAAATGGTGGAGAACTGGCCAGAACGGTCCAAAACGCAGTAACACTGGAAAGCCTTCGGTTTTTCTCAGGTGAAAACTGGAGAAATTTAGGTCCTTTTTTTGACCTGTAGAGCGCGACAGTGCCAACAGCAAGCATTCATGCCCGGCTTACCAGATCGGGACGCTGGCTGAGGTCATGTCTGGGCACACTGGTTCAAGGTCAGAAGAAACTCTAGCTTGGTTACCCCCTTGTCTTGACTTAGCTCTGTGACATCCTTCACATCCCAGGCAACTCAGACGCAAAGTTGTATATTTGCTGCGGGTTACTGGGTTTGAGAGCGATAGATGTGATGGGGAAGGCGTTGCAATGTGCGCTTTCGAGTACTTGGCCACACAATGCATGTATTTTGAGTATATGTCAGGGCTCAGACTGATATGATGAAAGCCTACACCGAAGAGTATGAAGATGTGAACGTATGGAATTACCGAGAGGTAGATACAGAGAGCAGCGTGCGATGCGGAGGCATGTAGGCTAATATAGTGTACAATGGATTTCGTGTTGAGGCTTGCAATACATGACGACTTGTTATGTTTGTATTGGCACGACTTTTGCAACAAGATGCACGCGCGACTCACGTATGATCACGTCCAAGCGCTTGTTCTTGTGCGCGATTCGATGCCTCAGGGCTTGCGGTCGCCATGAACAGCCTCCCGAATCTCTTTCGAACCTAACCGCGCGTCGGTTTGACCGCTCGTCAAGCCAGCGCCCTGCTCTTCAGTCTCTGCACAATGTCCTTGTCAGCGCATTCTCGTCAGGCGGCAGTGCTGATGACACTCACTGTATATTGATGCAGGCTGGTTCTCGGTCTTGCTCTGCTTGCCTGCAACGTACATGTATCCCAAGGTTGCAAGGCTACCACCGACAGCGCACATAGCCTGCAGAGGAGCGTTCAGCACTTGGCTCTCGGAACATCCGTAACGTCTATACGCACCAGAGGCTTGCTGTTCGCGAGAGAGCTCATGATGCTGTGGTGAACTAGGTGATCAAAGACGTGTGTAAGATGGTGAGAAAGTGTGTATATGAGGTATGTGAGTTTGTGGATCGTGTATGAAGATATGGGTGATCTCGTCAAGGTATATGTAGCGTGCTCCAGCGTCTGTAATCCCGTTGAGCCGCCTTGGCTAACGTCGGGATCAGTGACGTCATGGTATCTTCGGGCTCGCTTCGGCCTCAGACGACCTTCGAAATACGTATTTTATATTGCAGGAGACTGAGGTTTGGTGGGGTAGAAGATCTCCGCGAACCACAAGACGGGAGCGCGAGATAACAGTGAAAGCAAACGCGAGGCTTCTAGGCTCACTTACCTTTAGCTGCACTTTGAGAGCAGTAAAATAGCAAGTGCGATGTGATTAAGTCTCGGGCCACTAGGCCTTGGGTCTTAAGCCTCAGTATTGGCGAGAGTGACAGTGATATATTATACTCAAGGCTGTCAGAGTGTACGTTCGATAAGATCGCCTTGTTCCTCCCACTGTGATACACTCAAACCCGCTGGCAGTGCGAGGTTTCACGAGTTGCTTCCAGACATATCTCCGGGAATGCAGATTCTACATCACATCGCTCGAGAAAGAATGCAGAGTCACACAGCGGACTTGCGAGTTTCCGGGCCAGATTGAGCTTTTGGGTTCTCATCAACCTTTTTGTCCGGTGTCCCTGCGCGGAGGGGTCAGCGTCAGTAGACCGGAAATAGAGTCTGCATATGCTCACCTGGTTTTGCTTGGTCATTCCTAGCTGCTTTCACGGACTCCGAGCCCTTGGTGCCATACCAAAGAACGCCAGCGGTCACAATTGCGCCGGCGGTGTACAGCATCTGCGCCATAGGCGGCTATGGTTAGCGGTGCGCCAAACACAAGATCCGTTGCTGCGCACCATACGCTGCTGGTTTGCCGCGGTGTGTGGTCGGTTCATGCTGGTCGACTGTGCTTAGAATGATTCGTAGGTCGTATAGTACAATGTCAAGATAGTCGAGGACAGACCGCAACGAAGTCCTAAGCACCCGTCAAGTTGAACGCACGGCTAGACGGCAGCGTGACGACACGAATGACCTCACTGTGGGCCAGTGTAGAGGCACGAGAGCCCCGCGGATGACGTCGATGTCTGCAGGGCGCGTGAACATCATTGCATCATTGCGCCACAAAGTCTCTGACAAAGCCCGAGCTCTTCGCCGGACGAGGTAAGCGGCGGGCGACGGCGACGGCAGCGTCGGCTTGAGGGCGTCCAGCTGTCTGATCCGTCAAGCAGGCCTTTCATAAACGAATCTTTCGTCAGTATGGGCTCGAGCGGTCTGATCTGGCTGGAGCCAGTCAGTTTTGGTACAAGCCGTCCAGTTCGGCCTGAGTCGTTGAACCTTAGCCTGCCGATGTCCAGGCAGTAAGGGCGTGCTATTATGCTGTACAAGTTACGCCGATCGCTCTGTTAGAGCCTACAAGAAGATAGTTGACATATTCTTGTAGGTTGGATGTGTCGCGTAGTATACGTCGGAATCGTCGTCAATCTCTTATGCTCGTTGGGGCCGCCGCTCGTATCCGACGTCTTTGTATCGCCTCGGCGGGGCCAACAGCGCCTAACAAGGCCGGCCATCGTCATATTAAATATATTGTATACGCAGTAAAGCTCTTTTAGGTGTTCATAAGCATAGGATTGCCTTGCTACTCCTAGCTCGGTTTAACACAATCTAAGGCCTGACTCACAACTCCGGCAGACTGTTAGCTCTCCAAGCTGGGATAAAGCTAGAGCGTTCGAGTCAAATTGCGTTTGCGTAACGCGGCTAGACGACCAGTAGAAGATGGGATGCGAGTGGCTACTAGCCTTCCGCAAGAGGCTATTCGCATGTAAGAGAACGTGCGCCAGCCTCGGGGCAACATGCTATGGTTAGCACTCAATCAGTTGTAGTGCGACTTGCGAAACAGGGTGCATACGAAAGTGAGCCCTGAAAACCAAATAATTGCCGAGGGAGCATGTCGACCGACGGGAACGGCCTCGCGTGGGCAAATTATGTACAACTTACAGCATCGTAGGCAGGGTACGGCCAAGGTGAGGCGACAAAGCAATCCAGCCGCCCGAAGGACCGTCCCGTCGTTCGGCTCATTGATCACCTCGTGTCTCATGCCTGGGCCTGGCGCGCTATCCACGTTTTTAATGACATCGCCGGGGCTCACCAGGGACATTGGTTTGCCGTTACGTTCCCTGGACATTCATGTAACTGCCCATGAAAGTTACCAGTAGAAGCGGCAGCCAAGGTCACCGCTGCCTCGGCGCTGCGGAGTAATAAGCAAACTGGGCTGAACTAATTCATCAGCATGAGACGCCATATAGCTGTGCTAGTTTCTCCCTCCCTCTGTTGAATGGGTACCGCAGAGGCTGCAGCTTGCAGGCTTGCACCGAAGCGCTTTGAGCACGGACACGAGCAAAAGGAGATTAGAGAAAATACAGATACCCAGTTAAGGTTAGGCCGATACGTCTGGTGGCGTTAACATAATTTGTATTGCAAGCAGCCCTTCCGCTGTACATCCACCGCAAGATAGATGCCGATTTCAGTGCATTGAATCGAAGGTCGTCGTACATACTGATCCGTTTAGTGGGTAGAATAATTTAGACATCATGTCCGGAGCCGTGCATACCGAGCAATATCGGACAAGGAGCATATGACCGCGCAAAAGCCGAAAGGTGTGTGTCCCTGGACAGGAGCTGGACGGATTTTGCTATGGGAGGTATGGTATACATACGTCGACCATGCTATGCATTAGGGACGCCACTAATATCCCCTGCGCTCATACGTGGAGGCTTGCCGCTCGTGGGCTATCCAGGGCGAGTTGATATCGCTGAGCGTAGAGCGATGCTGCCTGGAAGTAAGCATGTCGTCGACATGGTGTACCATGCTTCAGCGCTCAGCCGCTATCCTAGGAGCGAACACAGCGGAACAAAGTGTCAAGCGTATCAAAACCCGATCAAGTGTTGCCGATGCTTTGCTGACTGTTGTGCAGTCCCATGCCGGTTGAGCATCCCGATGCGAGATAAGTTGTAGCCTCTCGAGGACCGGAGCTTGGGGACTGACCAGGCCACTGTTATGTTACTCGTCAAGTATTATAATCAAAGTTATTAGAAAGAAGTGTACATGAATAAGCAATCGTAAAGCTTCGCAATTGAAAGGCCATAACGAGCGCTAGGTAATTGCCGATTGCCCCCTTTTTTGGAAGAGCGACCAAACAATGGCACCGCCGCCGTCGCTCGCAGCTTTGTTCTGTACTTCCACCTCGACGCCCTACACCCCGTCCCTAGACAACCTTCAGGTACGCCAGCATAACGACTAATGAGAGACGTAGTGCTAACTTCGCTTGTGTCTTGCTTGTGTCTTGCATCTCTTGTCGTCTGCAATGTCTGTCGGGCTCGTGCCAACCTGACCTCACCGCCACGACGACCTCGCGCGATCCCTGCGATCTCTCTCGATTGCTATCCATCGACTACGCGCGAGGCAGTTTCGTTGCCACTCAGTCTCTACATACGTCAGCATGGCCCTCAAGCGCATTAACAAGGTTGGTGTTGTCGTTATCTCGTCATGTTCCATGAGTGGCGTTTCGGCTGTGTAGAGAGGGCGGTTGAGGGGATGCTACCGGGTATTCTAGAGAGGTCGGCGTTCTGAGTGCGGGGGATGAGTAGCTCCTCTTTGAGGGCGCCCATCTCTGTCCTCAGAGGCGCTACTTGCCATCGATGCTGCATGTCTCGGGTCTTAGCCTGGATAGTCAGCTCGCAGACTGGGAAGCACACTGACACGGCACCCTGTGATCTGCAATCGATGACCCAAGTCTATTGCTTCACTTTCTCTGTATGTGGGCTCTAGATGCTGGGCACACGACCCCAGGAAAGGCTATGTTTATGCCTTCTCATTATCGTGTGCACGTCTAGCGCTGCTCATACAAGCTTTGGAGTATCCGCGAATTATGCTGACTCATCTCCGTCCTAATAGGAACTCATTGACCTCGGCCGGGACCCTCCCTCATCCTGCTCCGCCGGCCCTACTGGCGACAACATGTTCCAGTGGCAAGCAACTATTATGGGCCCCGTAAGTCAGATTTCGCTGTGCCACAAATTGCTATGGCTCAACCTCATACTTGCTTTCCTTCCGTTGACTTCCATTGCTCCTGTCAACTGCGCTGCACTGCTTCTGTCATGAATTTCAAAGGGCGACTCACCTTATGCGGGCGGCGTCTTTTTCCTCTCCATCACCTTCCCCACCGACTATCCCTTCAAGCCTCCCAAGGTCTCGTTCACGACGAAGATCTACCACCCGAACATCAACGCGAATGGCTCAATCTGTTTGGACATTCTGAGAGATCAATGGAGTCCAGCGTTGACTATCTCGAAAGGTACGCTCCCCACGCCGTTGCACTCCGACTGTAAATAGACCGATACCCATACTCCTTACAGTTCTACTTTCGATTTGCTCAATGCTTACCGACCCGAACCCTGATGATCCTCTTGTCCCCGACATTGCGCACCTATACAAGACGGACCGTGCGCGGTACGAGGCGACAGCGCGCGAGTGGACTCGCAAGTATGCTATGTAGTCTACTTTCGCTCGCATCCGGATGCTATGCCTCTGCGTGAGTTGGGGTGAATGTGTTAGCTGCTGGAGGACCGTTGGGGGGATGAAGTGAATGGATGGTGTATGATTTCGCGTGTCGACTGCATCTCTCGAACCCCAGTACAACTCAGCTTTCTTCTCGTACTATGTTTAATACATCATCGAAGCCGGATACAACCTGGAGGGTGGTTCGTCTGAGACTGCAGATCCTTGCAACACACCGTCTGTCTTCACTTCGGGATTCACAGCTGCATGTATGAAGTGAGGCATTTGCCAGGCCGTTTTTCTTGGAATACATCGAGACGTCCATGTTGGCTGGCCGAAAATCTCGCAGCGGAGCTTCAATTGATGGGCTGCAAAAATTCAATTATGGCACGTCGGTTTCCAAGTGCCATTACCATACTCCGAGAGATAAAATTCGATGAAACGGTGGCAGTTGGGTTACGAAAGGTTTGACGTGAGAAATTTTAGACGGTGATTGCAGTGTTGACTCCGAGCACATACAGTATATAGCCTCGACGGAGATGCAGCCAAAGCGGACATCGAACGGTCCATGCGGCCATTAAATGAGCAAGGCTTCCTGCCAGTGCTCCTAAGGTGAGCGTTCGATTCACATCACGATGCGGCCTCGCAAGAATAAAGCTGTTAGCTGCAATTGCGGCTGCGCACCTGGTGCGAGGACACGTAAGTACTAGAAGCTGAGGCTTATGCATCTAGTGATTTTGCGGTGAGTAGGTAGAGCACATACATGCAGTGAACCTCGCTCAATGTCCATCAGTATCGTTCCGAACTCAAGCTTCGACCAACTGGAGTCTGATCCACCATGAGCCAGCAAAGAGCAGCGAATACTGCGAAGACTGAAGCCGTGAAAATAGTTATATTCGATCCAGAACGCTACCCGGCCTATCCTGGAGAAGCCTTCAACAATCGCTACGTAGTTCAACGCAAGCTCGGGAACGGTCATCATTCTGACGCATGGCTCGTGGGGGATCGCGCATTTGCAGAAGCCGAAAACAGTAGTTCGATGCCAGGGTGCGTGTCTCCTCACTAGAATCCTCCTAAGTGGCGTACAACCAACGATCATGTAGGTTTGGAGCCAAATACCTGGCCGTGAAAGTACTGACTACAAGCGCCACCCTGCACTTGTCCACTGGTCAGATCCGCGAATACGACCTTCTGAACCTCATCCGTTCGCAGGCCCCAGAACAGTCATGGGGCCTGCCCATTCTTCTCGACGACTTTGTGCTCGCCGGCCCCAATGGTCCGCACCGATGTTTCGTAATGCACGTCTTCGGAGGCAGCATTAGCCAATTGCGAAGGGCAGCACCCAACAAGGCACTACCGGTGTACATCGTCAAGAATGTCATCGCGCAGCTGCTGGATTGTCTCAAGCAACTACACAATCTAGGGATTATACATGCGGGTGAGCGTTGAGAGCCGCCGTGGGATCTTATTGCTGTTGTCATGCAGTAAAACATATGCTGACACTTGGCGCTCTCGCATCATAGGAATAAAACCGGAGAATATTCTCATCAACTCTGTCAAGGGCGATGAAGAGATTGAACAGTACTTGGAGGAGAGTCCTTCGGACGTCGAGGGTCTGTTCGAGCTCCCTTTGCCTGACCCGCAGGCCGACTCGGACGATTCAGATGACGAGAACCCGGACACAGCACAGCCAACCCTTGGCAGTGCCACTGACCGCAGCGGGGCAGAGGGACGCGTCATACGGCATCCATACTTGCGCACTCAGCCGCTGCCCCTGCCATTGTCATGGGATTGCGCTCCCAAGGAGGCCGAGCTTCTCACAATCACGCTCGCAGACTTCGGAAAATGTGCGTAGTAACAGCCGACGCCGCGCCACGCGAAGCCCGGTGCTGACCTATCTTTCTGATATTACAGCGCAACAGGCTGGCGCACAGCCAACGCTCCGCCATTTCGCCCCCATCGCGTTGCGCTCCCCCGAGGAGATTATAAGCTCGTATTTTGGGCCCAAGGTGGACATCTGGGCTATTGGATGTATCGTACGTCTTCATGCTCCGTGGTGACCTTGTTCACAGTTCTGACGCGAATGGGATATGGCAAGACTTTTGAGCTTCTGACAGGCCGCTGGCTCTTCCATCCGGAGGCTGGCGATTCGTGGACGCTAGACGACGACCACTTGGCAAAGATGCTCGAGCTGACGGGCGACACGTTCTCTCCGCAAATGCTCGAGTTCTCATTGGACGCGGAACACTTTTTTGACGACGATGGTCGGTCCCTCGCGCTTCCCGTTTCCGTACATGTGCCCCGGCCGCTCATTTCATATGCTCTCTGACAGGAAATCTTCAACGGATCCAGGAGCTCATGCCCGTCCCGCTGGAACAAGCTATCTCCGTCTACGACGTTGTGCCACAGGAAGAGCTGAAGCCTGCTACCGACTTCATCAGGGCGTGCCTAAGGCTAGACCCCCTCAAAAGGCCCGGCGCAGGCGAACTAGAGATGCACCCGTGGCTTGCCCAAGCATTCTCCTGCTAAGGTTCGGCTGGGTCCCGCTAGGAATGGCTTCAACAGCCCATGTTCGCCATGCATTCCGGGGCTTGTTAATTTGAATAAGCGTGGAAAACGTTTTCCCCCCATTCTTCTATTCTTGACATTCTTTCATGACGAACTTCACGCATGACCTTTGGCAGCTTATTTACGTAGGTTAACGGACACCCTGTTATGTGTAGATTCATATCATTCATAGACACATAGACGATGGATGGAGCGGTCTAGAGACAAATGAGGGTGTTCCGGTCAACGGAGGAACCTAGTCTCGGTCGATACTAGAAGCGGCCTTCTCCGCGGCCCTCAGTGCTTTTTGGAACCCCTGCAACAGCAGTTCACGGTGTTCCATACCGACGCTCACACGTACTAGGCCCTCCTCGACACCATAGCCCGCCGCCCAGTCGAGCTCCAGGTAGTGGCCCAGGATGGTATACGGACACGCCAGGGTAAAGTTTGTTCCGAGACTCGGACCTTTGAAGAATGGCATGGCGTCGAAAAATGCGCGGCTCGCTTGTGGATGACGAAAGGTGACGCTGAAGAGTCCGCCGTAGCCGGCACCCGACACCCGGCACTTCTCGTAATGCCGTGACGTGGTGTACTTGGGATAGAAGACTTCCTTGACCGTCTCCGGGTGCGCACAGAGGAAGTCACAGACCGCCTCGGTGTTGTCGTCGATGGTGCGCGCGCGTCGGCGAAAGTCGCGCGAGTTACGCTCCATGTAGATGGCGTCCTGCCCAAAGTAGGAATCTTCGTATGTCTGAGAAAGGTGTGCTTTCAGGACGTCATAATGTCTGCTCTTGGGGTTGAGGACAAGGCTGGATCGATGTGAGCGATTGTAGCCGAAGTAATGCTGCGGACATACCTGCCACCCATGACATTCGCATCTCCACTGAATACCTTTGATAAGCTGCTGACCACGACGTCGGCGTGTGGGAGTACTTCTACGTTCGCGAAGTTGCCGAGAGTCTCATCGACGACAATCAAGAAGTTGTACTTGTCTGCGAGCGCACGCAGACGGGGTAGATCGGCAGATCGAAGTAGAGGGTTCGAGGGAAACTCCGTGAACAAAGCCAGGGCCGGTGGCACACCAGGGTTTTCTGCATGCTCCCTCGCGAGTTGCGACTCGAGCTCATCGATGTCCTTGTCCAAGCCATGCCCGAAAAAGTGGCACCCTGGTCCCCACTTCTGAAGTACCTTAAGGGTGTCTGTGTACGGAAAGCTGAGATGATATTAGCTTCGCCGTCGGTATGCCCTGTTGTTACATGTACTGACCCGAAGCATATACTCTTAGCTAACGGCATGGCTCCAAGAGCTAGCTGATGTGCACTGAAGATGGCAGACATGCCCGTAGGGTATAGGAACACGTCTTCTTCGCTGACTTCCATCACACCACGGGTACTGGGACCGAGCTCGGCGGACTGCTCGCCAGCCTGCAACCAGTGGTTGGGGGTATCATGGACGAGAACACCAGCGATACGACGACGCATGGCTCGCTTGGCAAAGGATGCCGCCTCGACTGGCAGATTACGACCATAACGCTCCTCGAGGTAGGTAGCATGGTCTGCGTCAAACGTCTCTGTGATAGATTCTGGAGGTGGGGACGTAGACTGAGGTGAATACGAGAAGCTCGCTTGCTTCGCATAATGGCGATTGCTCGCATTGCGTTTCGTAAACATCGGTGGAGGCGGGATCTTTGGAGAGCTAGGCTTTAACTCATCAGGCAGCATCGATAGACAGTGTGCGGCCAGACGGCTGGAAATGCCCAGGCCGGCGTGCTGCCAGAACTGCTTGGCGAGAGGGAAAGCATCGGCGGGGAAGAGTACAATGTGTAGTTCCATGCTGGTAGCCGTTGAAGCTGAAGCGTTCTCTGGTGATATGAGGAATTGCACGAGACGTACAGGAACAGCAGGGCCTTGTTGAGAAGACCGATGAACCATGAAGTCTCGGCATGCCTCTGCTATCCTGAGCGTGGGAAAAAGCATCGCCTGCTCTCCGTTTACACCGAACTTCTGTTCACATATCCCGGCCAGCTAGTCGCTGCATCAGTGGTTGCTGCCCGCAGGACATCCTCCAGCGCTCACCTTCCGGATAGTTAGATGAATGAAGAACCGTGGATATCCTGATACCATAGTGTCTATCACCCGCTTATCGCCCTCTTCGTAGCCAATATTATCCTCCCATGTTGGCAGCGAGACGGAGATTGCATGGGCTTCGAGCGCGGGGACGGCTGCACCGAGTGCAATCTGCTCCTGGATCGCGACACAGCTCATCCCGAACTTCCCAAACTAGATTAGATGGTTGGTGTGGACCTCTGTGGGCTTAAGGGGGTGAGCTGGGGAGTGTACTCGGCAAGTCTGACACTTTGCGATGTGATGGGGAGGGCTCAAAGAGGACCGCCCACCGAGTCACTCAATCTGATCTTCCAAAATGGAAATAAGGAGATAACGCTTTGCTTGCCGATAAGATACAGTAAGCCGATCACTCAATAATTCTGCTCACTAATGCAAGGCCTGCAATCTTCGCTTTGTCCTTCCATCTGGATTCCTTCTTGCCCCCGCACTCTCCGTAAGATAGTCTCTTGGGTGTGCTCCTACCTCATGCTAACGTTATAGTCTCACAAGATATGGAGTTTACCCCAGGTCCAGCCATCCACAAAGTGCTTTGCGCAGACTGTGGTACACCGATCGTTCCAAACTCGGCAAATCTTTGCGTAGCATGCTTGAGAAACACAGTAGACATCACAGAAGGTATTCCAAAGCAAGGTGCGTAGCTTCATGCTTGATCCTCATTTACATTCCTTATATCCTTGCAGCATCTGTGTCGTTTTGCAGGAACTGCGAACGCTTTCTCTCACCGCCCGCAAGCTGGGCACTAGCACGACCTGAGTCCCAGGAACTTCTCGCAATCTGCTTGAAGAAGCTTAAGGGCCTCAACAAGGTCCGGCTTACCGATGCGCATTTCATCTGGACGGAACCACACTCGAAGCGACTTCGTGTCTCGCTAACCATCCAAAAAGAAGTCCTCACGGCCACAATCCTCGAGCAAATATTTGAGATCGAGTACCTCGTTCAGCACGGCCAGTGCCCAGATTGTGCAAAGCTTGCGGCGAAAAACACGTGGAAAGCTTTGGTGCAAGTCCGTCAGAAAGTGCCGCACAAGCGTACTTTCCTCTTCCTCGAGCAGCTCATTCTCAAGCACGGAGCGCAGAAAGATACGATTTCTGTCAAGGAGGTTCGCGATGGACTGGACTTCTTTTATAGCTCGAGAAGTCACGCGATCAAGATGGTGGAATTTTTGGGCGGCGTCGTACCTATCAGGTAAGCCTACTTGATACTCTTCAGACGGCTGCAGATTGATGTCAATATAGATCGAAAGCCTCGGAGCAGCTCTTGTCAGCAGATACACACTCCCATACTGCAAACTTCAAGTACACGTATTCCGTAGAGATCATTCCAATATGCAAGGACGACCTCGTCTGCATACCATTAAAACTTGCCAAGCAGATGGCGAATATCAACCCCTTGACCCTCTGCTCGCGGGTGGGTAACACTCTCCACCTTCTCGACCCATCTACCCTACAGGCCTGTGAGATCACTGCGCCGATATATTGGCGGGCACCGTTCGAGTCGCTCACCAGTGTAACCGACCTCGTCGAATTTACCGTGTTAGACATCGAGCCGACTGGTAACTCGCGGGGAAAGAATGTCGCTGCCGATGCACAGGTCGCACTTTCAGGAGCATTCAAGTCCTCGCACCCACACGGCAAAGATGACGGCATGATGGACTACGAAAACTCGTCGCTAGCAAACCAGATTTTCCACACGCGAACGCATCTAGGCGGTATCCTCCAGCCAGGTGATATCGCGATGGGCTACTTCCTTTCCAACTCGAACTTCAACTCGGATGACTTCGCGTCGCTGCCGTCGCATCGCGTGCCGGACGTCATACTCGTCAAGAAGGCGTATCAGAACCGTCGGAAAAAGAACAAGGTGCGCAAGTGGAAGCTACGCAGCATCGCGAAGGAGGCGGGCGAAGAGGGCGAGACGGGCAGCGGACGCGGTGTCGTGGGGCGCACGGGTGGGCGCGACCAGAAGAAGGTTGAAGAGGACTACGAGCTCTTCCTGCGTGAGCTCGAGGAGGACGAGGAGATGCGCGGTGCTGTCAACCTCTACCGTGCGAAAGACGACCAACCCGGGGCTGGATCTGGGCTCGCGGGTGGCAAGACGCGGAAGAAGCAGCAGTTCGACATGGAAATTGACGAGAGCGCGCCGGTACCGCCTGCTGCGGACGAAGAGGAAGAGGAAGATGAGACAGATTTCCCCCAGGTCAAGCTGGACGAGCTGCTGGAAGATTTCGACGAGATGACGCTGGAGGAGCAGCAAGTGTAGATTTATTTCTAGACGCATGTATCGGTAGCTCCTTGACATGTACGTGTGCTCTTACACCTGTGTTGTTATCTCGAGACTCGAGTGCTGTCCTCAGGTCAACTTGACCTCGACTGGCTTTCCAGTTTTGTCCTGATTGTCGCAGCCTCGATCTTCTGAGCGCGCTCCGTGGTCTTCGGCGACTCTTCGCTTACTTGCATCATTGTCGTCACGTCCGAAGATCGCGAGTTGCGCAGGGCGCGCCGGTATACGATTTGTTCGTTTTCCATCCCGCTCAGGCGCTAACTCCTTGGTCAGCAAGTCAACGTCGAAGAAGAGGTTGC